AAAATGAAAAATTTCAAGTCTATACATATTTAATTTTTTAATTTAATATTAACCTGTGTAGAACATTTTACTCAAAAGCTAATACTAATGACTTGTAGAAATTCTTGAAATAAATTTTTTCTATTAATACTCAACACCTAATAAAAATCCAGTTGAGCAATATATGAATAAATATTTGAAATCATTTAAAAATACTGGTTCTCGATAATTTTTTTTTTGTCCAGTAAAATATCTCACATAATATTAAAGAAGTTGAATGAAATAAAAAAAAGAGAAAATTTATAAATAAAAAGAAAGACTTTTTTAAGAAAAATAAAGTTTTAAAGTTTATTGAAAGATTTTGAATGTGATGTTATTTATGGATTATGGAAGGACAATTACTAAGATCTTTACTGCTAAACCTTGTACCAGAGAGACCCAAATTTTGGATGAATGTGACAAAAGAGAAATGGTAGATATAGTAAAATAGGTTAATCAGTTAGCTATTATGAAAGAATCGCAAAAAAACACCTTTTGTTTGTTGGTGAAAAAAAAAGACCCAATTCCATACATGATGGCCAAATTCTAAGAGTGCTGGAAGGCCTCCCGACACATTTAATAAAGATATGCTGGCAAGTATGATTCTACCTGTATATATTGTAATGATAATGGAACAACAGTTGATGCAAGAACATTTAACAATAGATGTCTAAATGCACCTCCTATTGAAATAAAACAATTTTATCTTGAAATTATTTTACGTAAATGATTTTTGGATGAAGCAAATTCTTCAAATGATATTGGAACAAGGAGTTTGTCTAATAATAATAATAGTCAAAATCAAAAGAAAAGAAAAAATAACAATTGAATGATTTTATGATTCAACAAATATTACACCTTAAAACAAAAAACAGTTGATCAAGCATTGACAAGAATGTTTGATTGTTGCAGATTACCCTTTCTTTGGTAGAAAACTCATTCTTCATTGAGTTTGTTAATCAATTAAAGCCTACATATAAACTACCTACTAGATTTAGATTTTGTTAATGAGGAAGTAACAAATGTGAATGTAAAAGTTGACATTGAATTAAAACAACAAACCAATATTACTT